CTTGGTGTTCAGATCCTTCTTCATTTTTGGCCTCAGGGTTTTTCCTTATCTTTGGGTAAGCTCAGCTATGCATTTATAAAAAGTCTATCAGGGTTTGGGGAAAACTGGACAGCTACAAGCAAAAAAATCAAACTGGACTACTTTCTCACACCACATAGAAAACTAAACTCAAAATGGATTAAAGACTTAAGTGTAAGACCTGAGACCATAAAACTCCCAGGAGAAAACATAGGCAGTATGCTCTTTTCCATAAGTCTTAGCAATATTTTTTTGGATCTGTCTCCTCAGGCAAGGGAAACGAAAGTGAAAATAAACAAATGGGACTAAATCAAACTAAAAAGCTTTTGCACAAGCGAAGGAAACTATCAACAAAATGAAAAGGCCATCTACTAAATAGAAGATATTTGCAAACAATATATTGGATAAGGGGTCAATATTCAAAATATACAAAGAACTCATACAGCTCATCATCAAAAGAACAACCAGATTTAAAAGAGGGCAGAGGACCTGAATACACGTTTCTCCAGACATACAGATGACTAACAGGCACATGAAAAGATGCTCAACATCACTAATCATCAGGGAAATGCAAATCAAAATCACAATTAGATGTCACCTCACACCTGTCAGAATGGCTGTCATCAAAAAGAACACAAATAACAAGCATTGGTGAGGATGTGGAGAAAAGGGAACCCTCCTGCACTGTTGCTGGGAATGTAAATTGGTGCCACTATAGAAAACAGTATGGAGACTCCTCAAGAAAAGAAAAATAGGGGCTTCCCTGGTGGTGCAGTGGTTGAGAGTCCGCCTGCCAATGCAGGGGACACGGGTTCGTGCCCCGGTCCGGGAAGATCCCACATGCCACGGAGCTGCTGGGCCCGTGAGCCACGGCCGCTGAGCCTGCGCGTCCGGAGCCTGTGCTCCGCAACAGGAGAGGCCACAATGGTGAGAGGCCCGCGTACCGCAGAAAAAAAAAAAAAAAGAAAAATAGAACTACCATATGATCTAGCAATTTTACTTCTGGGTATTTACCCCCCCAAAATAAAAACACTAATCTGAAAAGGTATATGCATCCCTATGTTCACTGCAGCATTATTTACAATAGCTAATATATGGAAATAACCTAAGTGTCCATCCATATACGCATGGATAAAGAAGATGTGGTATTACATATACAATTAGTCATTAAAAAAAAGAAATGAAACGTTGCTATTGCAACAACATGGATGGATCTAGAGAGTATTACACGAAGTGAAATAAGTCAGACAGAGAAAGACAAACACAAGATGATCTCACTTTTATGTGCAATCTAAAAAACAAAACAAAGACACAAACAAAACAAAATGAAAAGAGTTATAGATACAGAGAACAAACAGGTTGTTGCCAGAGGGAAGGGAAGTGATGGGGGCGAAATAGGTGAAGGAGATTAAGAGGTATAAACTTCCAGTTATAAAATAAATAAGCCACAGGTATGTAATATTAAGCATAAGGAATATGGTCAATAATATTGTAATAACTTTGTATGGGGACAGATGGTTACTAAACTTATCATAGTGATCATTTCATAATGTGTGCAAATGTCAAATCCCTATACAGTACACTGAAACTGACATAATATTGTCAATCAACTATATTTCAATCAATCAATGTTAATCGCATCTAAAAAATAAAAATAAGCAAATAATATTAAATGAAGAGGGAAAAGAAGTCTAAGTCTGCATTGTATCTTTCAGCATTCCTGAAGGTTTTGTAGGAGGAGAGGCTTCAGGTTAGCTAGTCTGCCACCTTGTAAAAAGGAAGTTGTTCATAAAATGTCTAGATGTAAAACTCTGCCCAGGATGAGAGCCTTCTCTGCAGCAGAACCCTCACCTACGACCTCACACATTTATGGAAGATGAATTGAGTTCATCTTGGTGACTTAAAGAATAAAGCAGCACTTTGATGGCAGGAGGTGTGGAGGGAGAATCAAAGGTGAGAGGAGACTTTCCCCTGAGTGTAGGAAATAGGGATTGTCTTGGCCCCTTCAGCACATCTCTAACTCCCCTCTTTCCCTCTCCATCTCACTGCCTCTCAGCCTGGCTTCCCACAGATCGCTGAAGCCATGAGTGAGTGTACACTTCAGGGCACTCACTGTAATGAGAGCTCCAGGAGCATGCAACTTGACTCCTATCAAGCGAGCTCTGGCTAAAACTATCAGTTCTGATCAGATAAACCTAGGGACTTTGTTCTCCGTAACAAGGGATCAAGGGACTCTGGTTGAGACTAAATTTACAAACAATTCTAAAATTGGGGGGGGGGGGAAGGGAGGGGAAAAAAAGCAAATTATTCTAGGGAAACTTCATTTTTTCCTTTCTTAAATCCTAAATCCACTCTCTGTAGGCCTCACGGCTTCTGTTTTGGAAAGGAGGTCTAAAATACATAAACACAAGTCTAGCCATCATAGAAAATCCTTGAAATCCTTTTCAGAATGGTTCTAGACCAATATTCCTAGAAAGATCCACAGACCAGCACAGGTTGAAATCCCCAATGCAAATCAGATTCAGTGTAAAGAAGCCAGAATTCCTCTCTACCACCAGCAATCCTCTGATATGAAACCAGCCTGTTGTCCTTTCTGTACCCTTCTGGCTCCATCATTCCCTGCCCTAAACAGGATAGGGCAATGCCCCAGGTAACATGGTGCTTCCACCCCAAAGGCACAGTGGTATCCACCTGCTCTAAGAACTGATTTTCCTCCAGGTTTGCATTTCTACATTAAAGCGCTCACTAGTTCAAATGGCATGTGTTGTAACTGTTGATAATACATCTTTTATAAATGGAGATTTAATTTTTAAATGTGTAGAAATAAACCATTTTCCCCTTGCTTTGGATTTTTCTTTAAAAAGTAGCACCATTAAAGATGTCCTCTCAAGCAAAGATCCTTTTCAACAAAGGTGAGGCATATTGGTGAAGAGTTCGAGTTACATAAGACTATGGAATTTATGTAGTCTGAGAATAAAAGACAATCACCTTCAATTTTACTTAAGACAGATACACATAAATTCTAGACTAACTCTTCTCTTATTTCCTGCACATATCTCCTACTTCTTTCAATTTTCAAATTCAGCTTGAATGATAAAAATACAAAGAAAGGCTAATAGGCATATGGTGATTGAGCAACAGGATCAACCATCCATCAAATGTGTGCTAGCTTAAGAGCAGGCTGTATTACTAGAATTCACTACTTAATAGCTCAACCCCTTCTCTATTACTGCTTAAAATAGAGATTTAATTATAATGTAGCTTTGGGCAAGTGACAAAACCTCTCTGGTTCTCAGTTTCTTGATCTGTAAAATGGAGATAATAAAAATACCTATTGCAGAGGGTCATTGTGAGGTTTGAAACAATTTGTGCCTCTTACTGAGTGGTCAATAACTGTTAGCTCTCACTAAGGTTAGCGTTGTTATTAGCTGTTGATTGTTTTACAATGTGCCATGGAATATCTATTATTGCATTTAATTTATTATTTTTAATTCTGCTTCTTTCAGAATTAAAGAAGTAAGAGTAAGAGTAAAGAGTAAGCACTTCTGGTTAGCACAGACCTCATTAGCTCCATATTAAAAAAAAAGTAGAATTAGATGAAAAGTCAACTTCAGAGCAAAGGATATATTTTATGTACATATACTATTTAACATTTTATTTCCAGCAACAGCTTAAAAAGAGTAAGTTTTACATGGATCACTTCCTCTTCTGGTCCCAGGGCTGAGAATGCACAGTTCCTCTCAGAGAGACTTTTGATTGTGTTAGATAAATCCAAGAACACCGTTACCTGGTTCCATTATACAGGCACTGTTCTAAGGCTGAGGCTTATTCTGACTAGCCATGGGTTAGAATCTGTAACTCCACCATTTAAAAAGAGACCCAGTAGGAATGGCATCATTTGAAGCCCAAGAAATAATTACAGACAAAGCATTTTAATAACTTCCTAAAGCCTGAATATTTGATCTGCAATCACATTCTTGAATTTACCACTTGTTAGTATGGACTAAAGTATAAACCTTGTGAAGTACCTGCTTTTCTTTTACTATTCATCTCTTTAATGGTGGGAAGAAAACAATAAAATTTTAATTGAGTTATCCCTCTCAGCACTGAACAGTGGTGGACAAAATCTATACATAACATCAAAATAATTGCGCTGTGGAACTGGCCAGCAGTCTTGCCTGGCCTACATTTAGAAGAAAAGGATACGAGCTAGCTTTCCAATCTATTGGAGAGGATAGATCAAAACCTTCTAGAGGAACTACTTCAGTGTACAACAAGTATCTAAAGTGGTTTCTTATTGTCACTAATCTAATTCTTAAAGCTGTAAGTTAAGATATTCTCCTTACATTCTGCCCTTAAAACTTGTAAAGAGCAAACCAAGAACTGGAGAAAGTTAAAAAAAAAAATCTACAATCTACTTGTTAGCACACCTTCATGCCATGGTGATTTGATTAGTGATTTGATAAGTATAGATTACAACCTTGGACTTAATACAGGGTGGCCCACTTTTAAAAAGGCCCATTTATAACAAAGCTCTCTCTGTTGGAACTGCCAAGAGAGTTTAAAAAAAAAATGCCACCAGTATCAAACACTTTTATTTAGCCACGCATTGTAGAGCAATGTAATTGCAAACCTGGAGAGCTACATCTTAGGACAGTTCTACTGATTGTGTGATTATAAACAAGTCAAGAAGATTTCCTGATTCTCATACTCTCTGTCACTATAATGAAATTACTACCTGCTCTCAAACTACTCCACAGAGAAGACCTAAAGAATAAGGAACACTATATAAGTATTGCAAAGTGCGATAAGCTTCTTGGATAAAAGACTCTAAATGTCTCAAGAAAAATGCACAGATTATCCCTATTAGGGTAGAATATTTGTAACGAAGATTTAGGTTACTAAAAACTAAAAAAATTATTGAATTCTTACAAGTTTCAAATATAACACTCACCACAGTAGAAAGGGGAAAGACAACCTACCCCATGTTCCCATCCATTAGAAGAATCGTGTTGTATATGTGAGAAAATATGAAGAGAAAGAGAATTGTGCTGAAGAACATTGTCATCCACGATCCATGATCCTCTCGAAACATTTTTAACCGAAGCAACTGACCTGCAATATAAATATTATTGGAAATCAGTGTACACTGTAACTCAAAATCCATACAGCTTTGCTTTATTTTAGTGAATCTCTATTATCTCACAAATACTCTGAAGCCTTTGCCCTAGCACTTGTCTTATGGGTGAAACCACTATCTAATGTCCTTTTTGCTCTTTTGTACATAAATGGTAAAGTCCAAGACAACCCCCATATCATCATCCTAGAGCAAACAATACTAGTATGAGAATCTGGTATAGAAATCATTCACTAGGCTGTCATGAAAACAAATTAATTAGGACACTATTACCTGCTACTTTTTATTTCACAAATATGTTTTTGGTTCATTTACTGAAACTACTTAAGTAAGGCAAATGGTAACGATGTTGCATAAATTCCATATAATTCCCTTTTGCTTCCATAGACCCATTCCCAATACTGGCCAGATGATAAAACCAAGTCATACTTCACTTATAAGAAGATCCAGTTGTTAAAGGTACATGCAAACATGAACAGTAAAAATAAAGTCTCTGTCATAAGAGACAGAAGGCTTAGCCTTACTCTTAGCTAAAATATCCATAACCACGTACAGGCTGGTGCCCAAGTCTGTGGGGTGTGTGGGGCCTGGTGGCGTGTGCATGTGTTATGGAGTTGGTATGGCTCCTAGCAAAACATAATTTCTACCCTAATACCTAAAATTCCATTTATAAAGACAATGGCTAAAATTGGAAAGGATGGTCAATTAATCTATGACAAAGGAGGTAAGAATATACAATGGAGAAAAGACAGTCTCTTCAATAAGTGGTGCTTGGGAAAACTGGACAGCTACATGTAAAAGAATGAAACTAGAACAGTCTCTAACACCATATATAAAAATAAACTCAAAATGGATTAAAGTTCAAAATGTAGGACTGGAAACCCTAAAACTCATAGAGGAAAACACAGGCAGAACACTCTTTGACATAAAATTGTAGCAATATTGTTTTGGATCTGTCTCCTAAAGCAAAGGAAATAAAAGCAAAAATAAACAAATGGAACCTAATTAAGCTTAAAAGCTTTTGCACAGCAAAGGTAACCATCAACAAAATGAAAAGACAACCTACTGGATGGGAGAAAATATTTGCAAATGATATGACGGACAATGGGTTAACACCCAAAATATATAAACAGCTCATACAACTCAACATCAAAAAAACACAAACAACCTGATTAAAAAGTGGGCTGAAGGCCTGAATAAACATTTTTCCAAAGAGGACATGCAGATGGCCAACAGGAACATGAAAAGATGCTCAACATCACTAATCATCAGGGAAATGCAAATCAAAACCACAATGAGATGTCATCTCACATCTGTCACAATGGCTATCATCAAAAAGAACATGAATAACAAATGTTGGTGAGGATGCAGAGAAAAGGGAACACTTGTACAGTATTGGTGGGAATGTAAATTGGTGCAGCCACTGTGGAAAATAGTATGGAGGTTCCTCAAAAAACTAAAATCAGAACTACCACATGACCCAGCAATTCCACTCTTGGGTATATGTCAAAAAAAAAAAAAACCCACAAAAACCCTAATTCAAAATGATACATTCACCCCAATATTCATAGCAGCATTACTTACAATTGCCAAGATACTGAAGCAAGTGTCCATCAACAGATGAATGGATAAAGAAGATGTGGTGTATATACACAATGGAATACTACTCAGCCACATAAAAGAATGAAATTTTGCCATTTGCAACAACATGGATGGACTCAGAGGGTATTATGCTAAATGAAATAAGTCAGACAGAAAGAGAAATACTGTATGATGTCACTTATATGTGGAATCTAAAAACTAAAACAACCTAGTGAATATAACAACAACAAAAAAAAAGCAGACTCAGATATAGAGAACAAACTAGTGGTTACCAATGAGGAGAAGGAAAGAGGAGGGGAAATACAGGGGTATGGGATTAAGAGGTACAAACTATTGTGTATAAAATAAGCTACAAGGATATATTGTAAACCACAGGGAATAGGGCCAATATTTTATAATAACTATAAGTGGAGTATAACCTTTAAACATTGTGAAACAATGTATAATATTGTACCATATAATACTGTACATCAACTATACTTCAATAAAAAGAAAATAAAAAAAGAAAAAAGAAAAAAAGAAAAAAAGAATGTTAAAATGCAAATACTTCAAAGAGGAAAATGTATTAAGATGAACACTAAAGTAAAAATTACTAGTATCATAATCAGTCCAGATAAATATTTTGATTTATGATAAAGAGAACTGAGAGCACTAGTATCCTGAAAGGTGAGAAAGATTAAAAAAAAAAAACAGGATTAAGAAAAAAATAAACATAGGTCACCCTGGCTTCTCCTAAGAGAAAGTTTATCTAAATAATGATAAAGGAGATGACTCACATATAGGAACTACAATTCAAATAGGGTAGGCCTGAAACCTTAACAATAAAATTTCCCACTAGAGAAAATATCCCCTTTTTTTGATGATATGTTAAAGGTATGGGGAAAATATGTATATTTCCATCTGTAAATGGTCTCTCTAGGGACAGATAGTAGCTCTCATGTAGGCTACCTCAGTAGCCTCAGTAGCCTTAAGATTACCTACAGTAATCTTAAAAGAAATCATCTTTTAAGATTTAACTACTAATTTTCCCTTGTCCCTTTCTTTCATTAAAATAGCACTTCAGATTTCATTTGGAAACCAGACTCACAGAAACACTACCCTAGCTAAAACTTTAAATGGAGCAAAAAAGGATTTGGTTACATTATCTGGTTTCTTGGCCTGCACAAGAGAAGCAAAGGACAAATCTGAAAGTCAGGGGGAATGTGAATTATAACTGAAAGAAGAATGTGGAAAATGTTCTACTGAAGCAAAGGATACTAACGCTGCAAATTACAGCCTTACAGAACTTGTTGATTAACTGAATCAATAATTATAGAAAGCCAGGGATTTGCGAGTCTCCACACAACACATTGACAGGAATATTATAAATAGATATTTAACACAGAATGCTTGAGAGTAAAAAACCCATGCCACGAATATCTTAAAGCAAGCTGTAGAGAATATTATTTATTCTTTGAACAAATATTTAATGTGTGCTTATTGAGCAAATATTAAATGTGTGCTTACATGCCAGCTGTGGTTCTAGGTGCTGGAGATACAGCTGTGAGCAGGGTAGGAAGTGTTCAAAGTCAACCATCATTTGGATATTTAATGAAAATGTGATCTTATTTTAGACTGATTTGACTCAATGTTCCCTTTGCTGCAAGTCCTTCAGCCTTGACCTATTTATTTAATTCAGCAGTTGATACTGAAGAACTGCTAAGACCAGCAATTAGAGTTCTTGGAAAATTTAAATGCGAATTTCTTTCTTAACATACGCATATGTCAAAAAATTCACTAATGGATGTACTTTAAAAGTCAGATAATAATGCTGGTGACTTAAGAGTGCTTTGCAAATAAAATACAGTGGGTTAACTGTACATGGCTGAAATAATACAGAGTTAGTAAAATGAGAAATGTGACAGTACCATTTATGCTGTCATCGCCAAACTCATTGCCTGGCACTAATTTCAGTCATTAGAGTCATTAGAACAAGATGGCACGTTAACACGGCTTGCAATTCACTTGAAACACACAATAAAAGTACTGCAATATATTAAGGCCAGAACCGGTGTGACCCAAATGTTGAGTCAAATCACATTAAAAATTTTTCCCATAAGCTACTTCAACTTAACTCATTGAGTGTCCATCCTAATGATAGAAAGCTGTACACACAGATGGCCATCAGCTGACTCCCCATGCAATCTAATCAAACTAGGAACCTCAGAGTTACCCCAGGATGTCACATGAAAATGCACTATCTCCTCCCCTGCAGTGTGACCATATATTTGGTTGCCCTGGGACATCAGTGGCTTATAACTGTTGTCCTAGAATAATTATTAATAGTGCCCCCTTCCTTTCTGAAGTGCACTGGTTTGGACAATAAGTTATACGCCACCTTTCCTATAGGTCACAGAATTCAGAGTTTTTTTTAACACTTTAGAGGAGTTTCAGGAGATAACTGAGTGAAAACAGTCTTCATAGGTCAACAGAGGTAAAAGACATCACTAGGAGGGGTACATTTCTGACAAGGTGGTAACGACTTTTATTTTAATCATAGATATATTTGTAAATCTGAGTGTATGTTTATGCTACTAATAAAATCTGTCTTGCACTGTATGGACTATAATCTTTGATATGGTCAAGGTAATTGGAAAACAAATCTTAAAACAATCCGAAGCATCAAGGTGGTACACAAGCCTATATCTGTGTTGGAGGTTAGGGTTGGAGGGCACAGGGATTCATTGTCACGAATGTTGATTAAAGTAAACTGAAATAGCCTAGAACCTCAGAATCTTTCCTGGAGATACAGCAGGTTTAGAACCACTAAGATGTCATAAGATTCTAACAAGGATAATGACCTAAAAGCATATTTTAAAATATACGATGAGCTCACATGTACGGTGGAAGACAGAGGCAGATGAGTGTAAGAGAATTATGGAGAGGCTACTTGGTTTCTTGGCTTTTTTGCTGCTGTGTTCTCATCAGCAAGATAATAGAAAGGAGCACATTCCCTTTGTACCTCACGGCCAGGCTTTTATGCTAAGTTCTGGGTTCCTTTTCTTCAGGCATAATTTTCACAAAGAGGCCTTGAACAAAGGAATAAACTAAACAATCTCAGAGGAGAAGGAGTAGAAGTGTTTGTGCTTCCAGGGAAGAGATTAATGTACTCCTGGGGAAGTTGTGAAGGCAAGATTAAATAGGGTGAGGGTGTCTAGATTCACTGAGGGTACAAAGATTTTGGCCTCCAAGGTGACAGAACCTCATTTGGGTTTGATTCCATGGATGCTGGTGAAGGCCAAAGTATCAAGGGTCATGGCCTTGGAATTCAGGTAAGGAGACTGAACTGGCCCCAAAGGAAGGAGCCAATTGAGCAGCCACCCACCTTCGTTAGGAA